TCTCTCTCTCTCTCTCTCTCTCTCTCTCTCCCTCTCTCCCCTCTCGATAAACAAGAAAATATAATTAGAGAATCAGTCTATCTTTCTCTCTCTAGCTGTTCTCTATTACTTCCTCGCACTCCCTTCTCTTCTTCCTCTTTATCGTTACAAGATATTCTTATCGTATTACCCCACCGTACTTCTCCACTCTTAACGCTTTTGCCTCGAGCAGTACGTCACGTCGTTCGAACGTTGTTACCTCGTCTTTCGCGTATTGTTGACATATAAATACATTTAACTATACCTATAGACTTTACATTACACGAAACAGTGCCTCTGTCGGTACATCAAGTACTGTTACCTAATATACAAGGAAAAGTTCCGGCCACGGATTGTATACGAATACATGCGAGATAACAGTAAATGGTTAGTAATTTATTCAATTAACTCTGTTTTATTAATTAATCGTACTATCAATTAATAATCCGCCGCGTATACGATCGAATGACAATAAATCAATCGTACCGTATCAATGGGGTTCGCCTTATCTTAGTATCAGGGTTGAATACTTAACCCGAGGGTCTTCCCAAGTCTGAACAGAATCCAGCGTGCTCTACTTCTTACACTTACTGTAGTATGTAGCTATATGTATATGGAGTAGATATACTCATGGTACGTGCAGACGCATCGGTACGAGCCTAGAGAAATTTGTTCGAAGCATGGGAAAGCCCCTTCCTCGACCTTCAGAAGAATTGGATGAAAGGAAAACTCCGGGCCTAAGAGTACTTATGGCTCGGATATAAACGAGAGGGCTGACGTTGATAGGGGTTTACTACTTCCAGTCTTAAGCTCTTATTGTTTCAATGGCTCGAATTTCGTCACTCCGCGTTTACCAAAGTCTGGCTAAACTTTCCAACTGTTTACAGCAATCTCTTCACGATGGTACCTCGCAAAGTTTTGATATCAAAATTCCCTTGAATATATTGCTAAGATCGTTCGTCAATCCTGCGAATAAATTAAGATTTAATTGTATTTTAATTGTAAGGAAAAAAAAAAATTTATTTAATCCGTAGCACTTGGGTTATTCGAGGATTTCGGTATAGTCGGGTATCTTTTGATCGCTTACAATTAGATTGGTAATACGCCCTTTTGTAATACCATGGTATTAATTGAGCCGTGAATGGGGTGTTTATCTTGTAATTGAAGAGTGGGTTTGTAATTAATTTGCAAGAATTATTTCCTACCCCTGTTTCGTCGAGTAACACCAGCTGCTTGACTACCTAATGCATATTCATAATAGGTGAGAACAGTAAGTAATGTTTGTCATTACTGTTCGGTGCTCCGTGACGTCACACCTATATACGTCATTAATGTCAATGCTTTATGATGATCGGAAAGCTTTGAAAGATAAGGAAAGTTAAGGGATACGTCAAATATAACTTTTTCCTTATGATACAGCGTACAGTGGTTATAATTGTAATGAAGATAAGCTCGTAAGATTTAATCAATTCTTTTTTCTGGATTATCTGGAATATAAGGTGGCTATTTCGGATTGGCTTCTAATTCGGATTGAAAAATGTCAAATGTCTTCTGAGCCGACTGCGTCACTCGTGAACGTATTTGGTAAAAATTTTTGATAATGATGAAGTCGGCTTGGGAGGAATTTTCGAACGGAATCAGAACCTGATCCGAAATAGACACTTTGCCCTAATAACAGGGTCTAAAAGCTTCCGTCGACTCCATTTCCGGAAATTCGATGAAATATGAAATATGAAAGGGTTTACGCCATCAAGATAATATGGCCTGGAGGCAATTGCCGTAATTATTAATTTCTCAAAATTTAAATCTCCGTTCGTCCATTCTTTTAGGCTCAAAAGTCAAGTATGAAAATTTGATAATTTCGTTACTTTGACCTTTTTCAAGTATTTTACTAAAATTCTTTCGGATCGGCCTCGTGTCGAAAGCGTCAAGACATTTTCTTCTTGGAAAATTACTCCATCTTTTACGTTCGAGCATCGCTTTGATACTGCCCGTGTTATTTGCATAGTTAACCTAGCGTCGGGACGCCTACACATTTTATATTTTTATATATAAATTTTTTTTATAAAAGCACAGCATCCGGCAATAATTTGTCATCCGAACGGTTATCGATTACGTAATACAATATAATAATAAGTATCAATGTAACGGGTGAAAAATAATTTTTCAAAATTATATTCGCCTACGCCATTGCTCCGAATCCCTGCAGTGACAGGGTGGTGCTACTCTGCCAGGTTAGATGGGAGTTCAAAGAAGTAAGGCTGGTTCTCATTGATCAATAATGAAAGTAAAAGGCAAATACGATATAACCGACCCAACACTCGTTTGGAGTACACAGTAAATATACAGTAAATAGAAGAACTCGATAAAAAAAAAACCGCCCCATTGAATTTACATATGTGTCAAATTCACGACTTGTTCGGTGCAAACTAAATGTCGAGTATCCCTTGAGAATGAACTTTCGTTACATCCCCTTGAAAAGTTTCTCAATGAGCTGTTATCTAACGCTCTCATCGCTTTGTCAGGTGTAAAAAACAAAATTAATCCGTAATACAAAATAACTATCGTGATAACCCGCAGGATACGTGCCAACTTGATAAATATAGTAAGCTAGTAGACAGCGCGTATAGTGCAGCTCTAAAAGTATCGGATACACAATAAAACCAATCGATTCTTTTACATTGTCTACAAATTGACTAGCGCTGTTTGCACTATATCAGTATCGTATATACTCTATAGATATATATAGTACAGAGCAGACTGTGCTAATTAAACCATCTAAAAAGTATCCAAGTCCGAGAAGCTAATTGACGGGTAAATCGAAATATCATAATATTCCAGGTTCTTCAGAGAATTCAGAATCGATATCGACAGCAATAGGTAGTGCATAGAGATCGACACCGTGGAGGACAAAACGGGACTGGGGAGTAAAAATGAGGTTAATGGAAAAAGGTGAAATGAGAAAAAAAAATTAGGAACTTCTGAAGAGTCTGTAATTGTACGAAAATGTAAGTTAAATAACCTGATCATGCTAGAGGATTAATATGAAAAAGAGAAATTAAATTATACGATATCAGATAGCTCGTTAATTATTGATTGAAAATTTTTTTAATCATACAGCTAAATTCGACCCACTTTTCTTGATTCTCGATTAAATTATCAATAAGATGAAGATCTTAGTATGACAAGGAGGTAACCCCTATTTTTAGAGCCATTCAAGTCTTCCGGCCCATACCTTCTTCGTCAATGGGGAACTTTAACTCTTGCCATATTTTTTATTATTTTCCACCAATTGAAAGACATGCCAAATACATGGAGTGAATCAATGGTCTCTTTGGATGCACGTAATATGTAATATATTAAAAATGAAAAACCCACTGTTAAAAAAAAGGGATTGTCTGGATAATCAAAATCCTCTTGATTAAAGGTCCTCTGAGTCCTTGCAGAAGGACGAGCTTGAAATTCTTTGGTCCTTCTGTTCTAAATATATCTTTTGAACTCTGCTCGAGTAACAATCGCAGGAAACAATTGAATCCTTTCCTCCCGTCGAATAAAAGGGATTTTATATGACTGAAAGAAAAAGGACAATCCTTTTTGGAGAGTGAGCTCCCGTCAATTAAATTGAAAGCTTGCCCATTTTTCATACGCGTTATAGCAACTAAGTGAAATATTTATTTAACTTTTTTTTTAACTTTTATTTCAAACTTCCGCATTAATAGCGAGGATCTGATTTAAACTTTATCTTGTACACAGATAAAACACTGTTGTTAAGCATGGGGTGTCGTGTAACCACGCGATGACTACGTCACTGTCACTATATTATAACATATTTACATATTGCGAGTCGGGATCAAATCCCGTAATACTGTGCTCATAAGCATCCTTTTTTGATAAAAAAAATACTTAAAAAAAATTAGAAAGATAAGTAACGTCAACGTAATTCAATTTTGTTATTTACTATAAAATTATACACTGTCATTAATTTCATACCGGTATTAATTTTTGTGTTGTTCATCATAATCATAGTACATTAATCATAGCTGTATGAATACATTATTGATTATAGCTATATACGAATTAATGTTATTAATAGATAGTAAATAATATTAATGTCGTTTATCATACATTTTTTTTTAGATAAAAAGTAGATTTTGTAGTAGCGGATTACGTCCTTTAATTAAATCTGCTGTTAAACTGCCAATTAATTATTTTGCATAATTATTAGTGGATCGATTAACCCGTTTTCCATTAGTCTCAATTACTATTTTGTATCCGTGAATTTCATGGAATATCGGCAAGAAGAAATTTTACTGATCAACTGCGCAGCTACAAGGATAACAGTCATTTCGTTTTGTGTAAAATGTTTTTAAACACGAGTTTATAAAAATCCTGTTTTTTTTTTTCATGTAACACGTGTGAGTCCGTATTATACACGTACTTGATATATTGGATCTGGGGTTCTAAAACAGATTTGATAGCTCCCAGTAAATACATATGTATTATAACATTTCTGCCTAAAACAGTACATTAGTTTAACAATAAGAATTGAAACCGACCCAAATTCTAGTAAAAATTACGAAATTAAAAGATTCGTCTGTCTCGTGTATATCTAAATCAGGTCAAAATGGCGGCGACCCGCAGATTCAAGCAATTACCGAAGGTTTTATAGGAAAAATGGACAGACTCGAGGTTAAAATTTCGCGACTTTAATCTCGATAACGTTGCTGCGACAGATAATGCGTTAAGAAATATTTATGACACATTTGACATCGTATTTCGACGACAACACACGACAATGATATTCAATATTCAAGAATTACTTACACGACTCCCTAAGGTCAAGACGAGTGAATGAAAGGGTAGGATGAAAAAGTTGAAAGGATATATCGCGTGACGCAACCGTACCACTGACCCTAAATCATTCGATTGAATGACCCCATCGCACACTCGAATGAATCCCTTGGGAATGTTAATTCACCATGTTATAAGTATTCAGGGAGCTTTAATACCTTCTTTAAGATGATTACGAATAGTCCTTTGCCAGAGTGATAAGAGATAAAACATTCCGGTAATTCGACTATCGACTGGCCCAAATCCTCCTCAAGGACATCCTGGCTTCGATCATTCCTGAAGTGCCCGGCCAATCGAGCCAGAGAAAGCCCTTCATCTGGCTATCGCGTCAAAACGATACGACACCTACCTGTCAAGTGACTACTGAGATAGCCTGTTCTGATCACTCACTATTATTCTTTACCGAGTTACGACTGAGAAAGCCTTGGAGATTTATGACAAGCAAAACACCGAAGGAAACAAAGATTTTCTATTCGACACCACAATATCCCGGAAACCCGTAGGAACGATACGAATACATACGGATTAAATAATCCTGAAAATATTTACTACTGAGTGACTCTTCATAAAAGTATCTTAGATAACCTTACGATAAAATTCCTGAACGCTTCCCTCTGCGATGTAAATGCAGTCTAAAACCCCGGAGTGACGTAACGGCATATTTCCCATCGGAATTTACACAGACGAAATATCATTAGATTACTACTGGCATGCAGATTATGAAATATGTCAAATTTCACTGAGCACTAACCGTAAAGGAACAAGTGAAAAAGTAATGTAACAGTAGGATCAAAGAGATATTAATATTAATAATGAAAGAAAAGTCGTAGCAGACTCTCTCGACAGGCAGTTAGGAAAATCTACAACGGCTTTAACCCTCCTTTGGATTAATACGATAAAAATATTTACTCACGCTAGCGAAGCTTATTCCTCTGCCTGTTGGCGAATCGTCCGATGACAGTCGTAAACGTTTAAATTCGAATGAAGAAACACAGTTCGTTTTATAAGTACATTGTTACACCCTACGATATACTCGACGGTGTAGACGGCGGAAAATCTATCCGTGGCACAGTCTCAGGGAGGAACCGAGTGCGCCTGACCGAAGTGGAATGAACATGGCCGACACGACGAATCGATAAAACACGTTACGTTTTCCTCCATCGACGAGCCACCCCCGAGCAGGAGGTACGTCGTCGATAAACGTACGAGATCAACATGACGATCGACGGAATCATTGTCGACCTCTATTGGCCGCGATTCCAGCATATGATTTCCTACTGATTCGAAAGAGATATTATTTTCATTTACAGTTCGAACATTTTCGAATTATTTAGCCTGAACCAATATTACCTTGGATCCTTGAATTTGATTGAAAATTATCTTCTATCGGTTGTTGTCGGTTCACGTTGACTTTGGTTGTGCTTAGAGATAGATAATGATGAGAATCATTACTGGAATGAGTACGCAGTTTCTAATGCGTGGGATTGAAGTTCTCAGGGATGAATATACGTATATATGACCATGTGAATATGTATTTATGTATATGCCTTCATGGAAAAGGGTGACCCTTAATGTTACAGCCTGTCGGGTTGGATAGTTTATCCTTGATTATAATTAATTACTAAAATATTTTTGAGTTATGATATGTTTGACTTGTGATTTTTCAGGTAGTTTTCAAATGATTTCTTTTTATGGTCGCGTTACTGTATAATTGTGATGGATTTCTGGAAATCTTATGCACTCGTTTAAATAGAGACAGTTTTAAGATAAACCAGGCCGCAGATAATTTGGCCTCGGTGACGAAGCGTTTTTGATGGATATATACATTTCTCTTTTGTCATTTTATCCATGAGTCTTGCAGACATGGATTCTCTAAGAAACTCTCTGACGTAACGGAAGCCTGTGCTATGTAAATGTGGAGAATAGTTAATAGTCGTTCATCAATTATTTTCAAACTTTCGAAACTTTCGAAAGAGTAGTTGGGTGCTTCTGAGATAAGTCAATTTTTATAAAGGATCGTTGATTAAACTAGTGTGAAATATGATAGTGACAGCCTTACATTCACTCGATTATTTTTAATTTGTTAGAGAATTCTTAATTTTAGATTGACAACCGTAAATGGTGAAAATCGATAAGGTTACAAGATCAATGGAGATACTTTAAAACGTATTTTAGTGTTAATTCAGCTTCTTGCGATACCTTTTTTTGCTCAAGTTTTTGTGGACGTTAAAGACTTTTTGCAGTTCATCTATTTCAGCCCTTAGATGAGCTTGAAATTCAAGAACACTCGATTTAACTCGTTTTGAATCTTGTTTTGAATCCTTAAGTAAACTATATTACAAAAACTCTATATTTTAATGAGGAAATTACTACTGGGAGTTCAAAGAAACTTCTTTCTTGCTAGAATTTTTTATGGATTTATCGTCATGAGAATAAACATATATGCAGGCATTGACATTGAAATCCTATACTTATATCATAAACTAAATATTATATAGATCAATCATATTCACACAGTTTTCATGTGGCTCCGTTTTTGGATTATTTTGGAAACCTCTGAATCAATCAACCTAACTCCGTCGATCAAGAAAATAGATCTGTTATCCAAATTCAGAATGTCACGTTATTTCCTACAGAACAACAATCTCTTACAAGATTTGTATATAAATTACAGATTTTGTATATATTAAAATATACGAGATTGGTTTAACAAACTTAAGAAAAATTAATATACGTAGGGCGTGTCTCTGTGAGGAAAATGAAATTGAAGATCAAAGTTATTGAATTCTCATTTTAGTTTAAAAGCTTCATACTAGAGTTCGTTACCTGTCAATGAATACCAAAATCGAATTTTTATCTAATTACAATGTTCAGAATTTTGTAATCTGCTAATTTTTCTGAAAAAATCTGCAGTTTTCTATTATCAATAGTATATAGTAATTCGTAAATATCAAGTGTTGCTGCCTTTCTGTAACTTGCTGCAGTACAGTGTCCCGTCTCTATTCTGAATTCAACATGCAATGTGTAGTTCAAAATCAAGGTTTTGTATACAGATCTGGGCACTTAGGCGAAAAACGCGTGACGATACAGTAGCCACTGCCGGAAAAGGCGTTAGTGTTGAAAGAGCCTAGCACCTCCTAGCTGCGCTATGTCAGCAGGTCAGTAGCATCCACGGTCAGCAGGCTTCTTCGACACTAGCGCTTGCGGGCAAAACAGGCCACAATAGCGATTACAAGCTAGAACGTGGTGAGGGTAGGGAAGTGCCCAGTCCAGTACACAAGATCGTGTTCACAACCAGAGATGAGTAGGGACTTGCACAACGCTACGATTTTAGACGATACCAAAAACATGGCGCTGAATCCCAGCGGCGAGACCTGAAGTAGAATTTCCCATTCGAAAGAGCATTGAAAAAGCTTATTGATGAAACATTGTTCAAAAATTGAGGTGATACACGAGTGTGTAGCTCCAGCACCGCATTTTTTAAAAATTTCTTAAAAATGATTCAACAGTAGGCTTTTTCAATAGTTCTCGAGGAGTTCTATAGTTCCTGATAGGTTTTAACAATAGTTCTGTTACGTAACATCGGTAAAATACCCATTAAGGTATTACTACGGTAAACTCAAAACCGTGTAATCGAGCTGAAATTTGTTTTACGTTTAACACGTAACACGTATTCCCTATACCTGGCCAATAAAACGCGCATGGTTTTTTTTTATTGCATTTGACTCGTCCGCGTAATTCCGATGAAAAACTAGTATATGGCAAAGGAAAAAATTAGGAATTTTTTAGATTTTTAGTCAGAACTTTTTACTCATAGGATTTATTGATAGACATGAAAGAAGTTCGATATTTATTACGAAATCTCTCGTACTACGGCTAGACAAAAGAGCGTCACGGCAACATTGCGTTTGAAACTGTATTGTGTGTATATACGTATACACTACATCCAATGTACATTAGTGTGTGCCTATCGATGCAGGGATGGGCGTGTGTGTGAGTGAACTGTACCAGTTCAAAAGTTGAGGCTGGATTGTTCAAATCTTACATTGAAAATTTTGTTATTTTTCGGTCCGTAGTAATACCTTAAGGATACTAGTTGCACCATACGCTTCAGTGCAGGTATGCATAAGGAGTTGACTTTCAGTGTTTTTTTCAGATTGTGTTTCAAATAGTTCCGGGATAGTTCTCTTTAGTAGGTACTCAATGTTGGGACTATAGTTCCGCTTGGAACTATTGTTAAATAATGCTGGAAGCTAGCACCGCATCGCTGCACTCCTTAATTCAGGCAGGCATGAGGTGCTGGCTTTTGTCTTAGTAAATCTTATCGAACTTACACTGTGCACTCGAATTTAAGATTACAAAAAAAAATGTTTAGGCAATATCTGACGAGCGGCCTTGTTCCAAGGGTTGCTCTGGAAACCAGCGGTAAATTGCGGAGAACCTCTGCCGGTCAGGCTACACGTTCGTGATCACGTTCAGCTCGGCTACGGTGGGATATGCCTTATCGACGAAGGCGATAATCACAAAATCCTACTCCTGGACTCGCCACTACGGTTTAGCGCCATGCTTTTGGTATCGCCTAAAACCGTAGCGTTGTGCATCTCCCCACTCATCTCTGGTTGTACATCTCCCTACTCATCTCTGTTCACAACAATGTGAACGGTGATAATGCGATCCGCCTATTAAGTTATTTTCAGTGTTTTTTCGCGAATTCAAGCAGTTTTTCTTCTCGATTGACCCTTAAAGTTATGCAAAAATGAGAAAAAACAACGGGATTTTCGTGATATGTGTGGTGTTGCAATATCTATGCGGTATCTGTACAACCCATTTGCTTATAAACGTCAAAAATCAGGTAAATTAATTTTATATAGAACTTTGATCCACGACTGACTTAGTTAAAGTCCAAGATAGTGTATTATGAAAATATTAAAACGTGAATTATTTTTCTATTTTGTTAGAAAAAATTGTGTAGTTAGTACAGACTAACCTAGAATGAGATAAGAAGCGAATCTTTTCAAATTCGTGTGATATAATTCTTGTCGTATGGATTGAATAATCGATTCTTAATTATGATTGAATTTCATAATATGCATCTCTAATTACCTAATAGTCTTCCTCTAACTGTCAACTGTTTTGAATGAAGTTTCATACAGGGGAGATTCTGATAAATTTATAATATTCATTTTCTAAATGAAATTGTCTATTTTCAATATAGGATTATCGATTGTTCATATTTGTAAATTCATGAACTCCAGATGTACATAGAGAATTTTTCATCGATGCTTTGAAAATGCATAATACACCTTTCAGAAGTAGAACATATATAATACTTTTATTCTATAATTACAGGGTGGTGATATCCTTTTAGAAACAATTTCATCAAATGTTACTGAGGATATGATTACTTTGGAATTCCAGCGTTCTGATGGAACCCTAGTTACTCAACTTATAGACTTTAGAAATGTAAGTAAAGGATGGTGAAATTCTTATGCAAAGTATATTGACATAACTATGTGAACTCTTTTAATCAAGTTGTATGTCTTTATTTTAGGAAGTGCAAGTTATAAAAGCTTTAGTTCTGGGTGAAGAAGAACGAGGACAAAACCAATATCAAGTAATGTGCTTTGTTAATCACTTTTATAAAACGGACTTTATATCTTCTGATGCAATGTCCAAACTTCGACAAAAGAATCCAGGCACAATTCGTATTGCCGAGGAAGACAGGGGTCATTCTAATTATACAATGGACTTGTTCCTAGATATTTCACAGTCCAAAATAATTTCAAATCAAGTAGCTATACTATGTGCCGAGGCTGCAGATTCAACATATACAAGAAACGAGGATCTAAAACAGTGGATCCAGAGAGCTGGTGAGTCATTCCAAATATTTAGAAGAAACTTAATAATAGTTCTACTTTACTTAGACGAAAACATACTCTGTTTAAACCCCTTTACGATTTTACATTATAAAAACAACTGTCTTTCGTACGTAAAATAATGGAACATTAGTAACTTAACAGATATCCAGTAATTGAAAATATTTCATACATAATTGATACCTCAATTATACACCATAATTTACGTAGTATTATCTCAATCGTCCCCGATTCAATTCCCTCGACATTGATCTCTTATGAAAAATCCATTTTGTTCCGAAGATTCTTGCAATTTTATACATAAAATAATCATGAATTCTTCAATTTGCCCATTAAGGTTCATCCGAAGCAGCACTTACGGCCGCAGTGAAAAACTTCACCACGATTTCGGTAAGTCAACAAACCAGTAATGACACAAAGTTACCGTCAGTAACAAAATGCGCGGATACTTCAAATTTATGGGCACCATGCACGTGCTCGTTAGAATTATGTATAGGTTGGTACCCATGTGGTTTAAAATTTTGCAAAGGAAAAAGCGACGGTAAGAAAGTAGCAAACACTTACCGCTGCGGCATTAAAACGTGCAAGAAGTGCTTCATATTTTCATACTACTCGAAAATGAAACAGAACTGTCTTTGGGACGAATGACACATCAGATCGCGATAAGCATAGCTTTTTTTAAACTATTCTTGACGATAGGACAAATAATCCCTCCTTCACACTAAATCTACAAAATACACTGTTCACATTAGAATCCTACAGTAATTCTATGATAAACTTTAGCATATGATTTGTTATGTGTACAGGTAGCATATGCATACAAAATTTAACAATATTTACTTGTACCATTGATACGCGTATACTCCCAGATTTAGTGTGAATTAAATGGATGAAAATGTGAAAAAGTGCTGATTATTCTTGGATAACGTGTTCAGGCGTATATCAAATGCCTAGATAGAATTCCGATAACAATTCTAATTGGAATAACAGTAAGTCAGTATCATCCGCTTATATCCGATATCGTCTCAGCGGGAAGATCCAAGAGTGTTTATTTTCTGCGTTTGTTGAAATAAATTAAAACATTAAATGTTGTCTAACGAAACCTCATTTAAGGGATCATAAAAATAATCCTATGAGGATGAGATATCGATGATGCAATACTTGAATTCACTCACAGCACTTTTTCCTTACAAGTACACGTTACCGTAACAATGTAAGGATGGTAAAAAAGTTGGAAAACTTCAAACCTTTGGTAATTACAAAAAAATTGAAAAAACGAAACAATTTTCCAACATTCAAAAAAGAAGTTTGTTCAATGTACGAATTCGCTTCGAATGAACGCATTCGTAACGCAATGTCATTTTCGCGAAAAGAAAAGCATCTACGCGTATATAGCGATCAAAATAACAAAAACACATTCCACCAAAAACTTAAGTATTACTTTAAAATTATAATTTTCCCCATATTTCTAGTCCGATATTTAAAAATTTACATTTTCTAGGTTAACAGCGTAAGCTCTCTCAAAAGTGTCTTGTAATCAATGTATTTTGAATTTTTTTCAACGTAACATAGAATTAGCTAATCTATCTCTGTCATTCCCACTCTTTGTATTTACATTCCTAAGCTACATCTTGCCTGGACATTTATCGGATGGTAAACATTCCATACAAGATTAACAGAGCCACGAATATACATACGATTCCTTACACGTATTATATAAAGATAAAAAAACATAACCAAGAACAATGCGTTACTTATCGTTCATTCGAAACGTCCAGATTATAATGCGTTCAATTTGCATGTTATATCAAACTCACATTTTTAATTGGGAACATAAAAGAAGAGATAGAAAATTAAGAAGAATCCCATACCTATAATCCACTCCAACATTGAACGCATTATAAGATAATAATTACTGTACGGTATCGTACATTTCTAGCTAATTTTACACGTGACTCGAGAAGCTGCCACACACGCGTATACATACATGTAATATTTCTAATCTTAAGTAGCAATTGTAAATAATGTGCAAAAATAATTAAATCAGAAGAAACGTTAATTAATGATTGCGCGAAGCGGCGGGCAGAAATTTGAAAATTTTTGTTTACTGCCCATCTGTATATACGTATAATTCAATTTTTGCAAAAACGTAATGAACATGTACAGTATATAATTAAACAAAGAAAAGCGCAACTATTTTATTCGTCCCTTAATTGCGGACGAGTTTGAAATAACAAAATTCATCGTAAATGCTACTCTAGATAATTACTTATTATATTGATTATTCTCTTATTCTTGTCATTCGATGCGTCCACGAGAAGAGCGCCGACTCTCTTGGAGAGGGACTTTTTAAAATATAAAGAAAGACTGCGAAATCTGTCCATTCGATGCTAAAATATCAACGAACCGCACTGATATCCTTGCTAATTAGAAAAACGTTCATGCAGACAGCTTCTGATATTTATTCGTGCTTTACGTGCTCCCTGTCGGAAAGAAAATGAACTAAGAACGAGCAAACCGACAGTCAGTGCAATAAAGAATAATACGTTAGACTAATATAAAATTATACTATGCCAATTAACATGACACAAAATTATACGAACTTCTATAGTTCTGATGATCTTGCACGGACTGTACATACGTATATAAATTATGCGTATTTTCACAACTTCCAAGGTATCTAGGTCCACGGCAGATCGTTCATGTCGCGATTTTCCAATATTTAACGACGCTTCTTTAAACTTAGTTTGAAACCGACACGCTGACGTCATTAAAATGACGTGTCGTCGATGAAAAAAAGAAATACTCATACAAGTCAATACGACGTATGAAAGATACGATAATTCAAAATACAGACTATAAACGAGTAACGTATAGAAATATAGCAATATCTATGTATATGTAAGATACTCACGAGCAAAACATTTTACACAATAGTAATAGTAATTAATGATTTCAATGATAAGAATATTTTAAGGACATGACATATATATATACACACATATTAGAAGAAAAATATTGGCAGATACATAATATGTAACATAGCGTGACAGTTGTCGAATCTGCCACTGGCCATCCATCTTTCAAGCTTTTTTGAGGAAAATAAAAAAGGAAGTTTAGGTCATTGAGCGCCTATAGCGGTACACGTTTTTATGGCGATCCGAAAAAACAATTATAAGGGTGGTGGGGGAAGATTAAAAAATCAACTGACCACATTGACGTTTTGTTATCGAAAATGTACTTCGTGGATGGTGGGTGTAGGAAGGGGGGGAGGGAAGGGGTTGCGTCGTGGGAAATAAGTGAAACCAGAAGGTGTTGCTTCTTTATTATAGCTTCTACGAATTTTGGACAGGACTATAATTTATCGAACGTAACACCATGTATGATTTGTGCTTTACACAATGACGTTGTAACTATATACATATTTTTTATATATATTTAATAAAAAGATTAAGCAAAAGGTGCATCTCTATTTGACTGTAATCCACTGCCAGAATCCTTTCTGTATATAATTTATAATCATATCCTAATTGTCCTATTTCCTTGGCGCTGTTCTTTTTTAACAATAAAAAAAAATTGACAGCCGACTGCGCGCCCTTTGGTGAAAAATATTCTCTTTTATTTTTGATAATACATTTTATATCTACGCCTTTCTCGTGCTCTGCGATCGTTTAATCGAGCGCCGCGTCTGATTCTTTGTCTAGACTTTTTTTCTTCAGCTATTTCCTTAAGCGCTAATTCGTGCGTAACGTGGCATGAAGATTCAATGGATCCAATCGTTTCACGATTGGCTGTTCTTTTTTTTTCTTGAAAGTCCCAAGTTACCACTCTCGTTCACTTTGCGCGGATTTTACAAGTGTAAATCTTAATGCCACGTGCGATGCCGATCGGCATCGACGAGAATCCTAAGATAAAAGTTCGTCAAGCTAAAACTCAATCGTTATAAACGGAATTTCATTTTTTGACGACCGGATCGTCATTAAAATAAATCATAGCGCCCAAAACAATCAGCTTAACGGAAGTGCCATGAATTCACGTTAATAATAAAAATGAGGGTAGACGGAAACGAGAACAATATACAATTATTTTCATCGGCTACTTTTAAGCACCGAATTACAGTTATAGCGATAATAACAATATTATAATAATAATAATAATAATAATAATAATAATTTAGCACACCCTCACGTTCGTAACACATACACCACGTCTCAACTACGTACGTTTCGTTGCTTAATGCATTTTACATTCGAACTGGGATCGTATGTACGATAAACTTTTAGTTTAAGTAAGAAACTAAGGTACGCTTTTGATCTCGCTACTTCGCCCAACTGTCACTATGCGTATACTACATCCGTTTATGAAACTGTTGTGGATCGGATCTGAATGCGAGAGTTTACTTCTATATACGAAGAATGATGTTTTCATTTATTGAAAGTAACGGTAAAGAAAATCCACCCTCGCACGTTGTGTCTCCCTACCGTGAAGATATATAACGTGTCCCTCTGAAGTTCTTTGAGAACCCTTTGTACGTCTAGGTTGACGTCCCACACATCGGGAACTCCTACGGAGTCAATTTTCGTCAACGACCCTTAAGCACCCGGAGACCCATAGATATATTCCCATGGAAATGGGAATCGTAATAAGATTGTTAGGTATATCTCCTGCAGAGTGGTGCAGTAAGTAATCCTCGTGCGTAATCTCTTATTGGAGTCAAATAATTTGCCGGCGGTGTGACAGCCTTGGAGGGAAGAATAAAAAATGATTCATTACGCAATAACCGTGTTCCTAGAAGGCACTAACTACTGTAACACGTCTTGCGCACATCAGCCAGAATGACGCTGAAGTCATCGTCAGCTTTTGAGACTTGTTCCATGTTCTGTGATTGCTGTGAATGTTGTTGCTGCTGTTGTTGCTGCTGTTGCTGATGTTGTTGCTGATGTTGTTGCTGTTGCTGCTGCTGCTGCTGCTGCTGTTCTTGATACTTAGAAACATCCATACTCTGATGATACTGATCCATGGAATGTCCAATAGCGGAACACTGGCTCTCCTTATTCTGTTCGTCGACGATGCACTGAGAGTTCGATAGGTCAAGCTGTGTCTGTTGAGGAGCATAATAACGCAAATCACTCGCATAATTGTGATTACTGTCCAGAAGACTTTGGGAGGTGAGACTCGAGTGAGGAACACTCGTTGGATGTGAATACTTGAAGTATTTTTCCAGCTGTAGAGCCTGTTCTTGCTCGTCATCGGTCATGCCTGGATCCAGATGAGATAGAACGACTTGTTGCTGTCCTGAACCACTTTCCGGTTGGTACTCCTGGTGATGAGACATCTGATATCTATGAGAGACTCCTAAAAGAATAAAAAGGATATACTCGAGAGTGTAAAAAAGCTTGTATATTTAGAAGTGAATAAATCTAACCAGAACATCCTTCAGCCGATCCACGTATACCAATCGATTGTTGCCGATTGCAAGGATTGTAACTATTGTCCACGGCAGATTGCATCGAATAGTTAGCAGCCTTATTGGACTGGGCTGTCGTGTAATGGAGCGATTGATCGTGCGGAGATGCCACAGGCGGGTAAAACGTGCCGGTAACGGAGCCCACGTTGTCGAAGCCGGAACGTAACTTGTTGCAGGAGACCATCATACCATTGGCTATACCCACGGCGGCTATGCTCGAACTCTGCCTCTCGAAGTTGAGGTAACTCACCTGGATAAAAGTCGGAAGAGGAAGAGGCACGTCTTTAAGCGGCGTAACGAATGGGAATTGATTCCGTCTCGCGCGTGGTTCGCTCAATGGGGTACTCACGGATTTCTTATAAGTCAGAGTGTCCGTGTAACCGCCGCTGCTGTTTGGACAGGACGATATACTCGTGGCGACGTGTCCACCGTGCAATTGGCTATCGCCACTCATGTACCCGTAGCGTTTTGATTGCTCGTTGATGTCGCTGTGCTTGGAGGTACCTTCCATCAGGTCACGCTCGGGGTCAGGATGTTGCGTGGATGAAAGATGCGTGCCCTCAGCTTTAATAGAATAATTAGTCCTTCTTAAGAATATAATCGAGTGGTAGCAGCGATTGGAGTAATGCAAGCTAACAGAACGGGACAAACTGAAGTCACGAGACGAACTCGCATCGACGAAGTCAGGTGTTTGCTGTACATTACACATATCAATGGGTCATAGGATTATAAGCTCCCCGGTATATCCGTGCGTGAAATCGAGTTCAAATGTCATCAGTATAATTTATTAGACGCGGCGAGATGCCTTCGGCGCGCGTTTACCGGGCTGCACGGTCCTTCGAGGAATACGCAGGGATACACGAAGGAGAAATTCTTACCATCCGGCTCCGGACTGGCGACGGGAGATATGTCCGGCGTGTGGATGATGGGCGTGTAGGGACTGCCGTAGAGAGAATTATTCTCCGATTTGTACTCCTGGATGCTTTGCTGTTGCTGCTGATGGTACAAGGACGAGATCGGCGAGTGGCCACCCCACGGGATCTGTGGTATGCCTTGGTAGCTGTCCATCTTGGACCTTGGATCAAAATGTGGAGACATAGGACAACCAGATAGACTTGCGTAGGACGTGGACAAGTTCTGACTTTTCTATTGAATTCTCCATGTCTCTTTTGAGTTCGTTAATTTACCATCGTTCGCTTCAATGACATCCCGATGATTAGGCCACGTTCTAAGGAGTACTGTCCGGACTGATGCATGCGAGTGGCATTTCTTTTAACGGAACAGCAACCTCACTCTGGCTGCCGCCCCGTGTTTCGGTCCTACCCGATATAAGTAAGTGAGAGTATCGATGACTTACATGGAATGATGAATCGTAGCGCCGCCAGGATTGGACCTAGTGCCTGGGGTGTTTGTCGCTGAGGGAGGCGAAGAGGGAGCCCCTGGGGCTCTTTTCGCATGTTTCCTACGTCGTGGTCTGTACTTGTAGTTCGGGTGTTCCTGCATGTGAATCACCCTGAGTCTCTCGGCCTCTTCCACGTAGGGTCTTCTATCTTGAGGAGTGAGACCCCTCCATTTCTTACCTAAAAATAAATATCTTAATGAGAAAGAATTTTATTTAAAAAAAAAAAAAGAAAACAATTTCACGTATTCATTAAAAAATGTCCCAGACAGTCTTACCCTGGTTCCAGCGTACCGTCGTTTGCATGAAAAAAAGGGAAAAAAGCACGAGAGTATTGCAAGTCTGAATATACTCGATGCTCGGTTACCATATTGGCAAACCCTTTGACTCGTGTACGTCCAATCAAAAAGATAATAAAAGTGAGAATCGCCGTAAAGCCAAGCGTTAAAAACGAAACGGACAGAATGAGTCGTAAGATTGGCACTTCGTCATCATTGTGCCCACTCGGTACACCCAGTACACGATAGAGCGGAATATCATTAGGAGGGTAAGGGTTAACGCTACGTAAGATGTTCAGCGCAAGACCTAAAAAGTAAGCGAGGCGGATGTATATGGAATAGGTATACATACAAACATATATATATATATACACATATATATATATATATATATACACAGAGTACGCCGTATAGGTACATATAGGCATGGGGGCGTAGATATGGGTGCGCCCGCGCCCGTGCCTTCAGCCAGCCACAGGCATGAACCATTATTTCATATTTCATTTTGTATTTCATCTCCAGAGGAGCTAACCCAAAGGGGGCTTTTTAAAAAAAAAGTTCCACCTTCCTTTCCTCCTACAACAATTTTTGTCGCCTTCGTTTCTTCCTTCTCTAACCACGTGACTGTAACTCTTTCTCCGTCCTCGTTCAACCGACCTCCACTTCGTCATCCACCTTCTATCTCTTTTTCCCTGTCCCCCCCGCCCTATGCCCGTACTCATGCTTTTTACCATCATCCCTTTCTACTACCACCACCTCCACTCAGACTCGACTTTTCGGCTAAGTAGATTTAATTTAATATTCCTGGGCGCGCTCTCCCGTGGAACACTCTCTACCCGTGATTCATCATCACACCCGCGCATTGCTCACCGCCGCGACGCACTCGTTAAGTATTCTAATGGTTAGCGTGTCCCTTTAATTTCTCCACTGGTCCTGCCTGGACGACTTCATTAATTTCTATCCCCCCCCCCCCAA